AACTGCTGCCTTGACCTTGTGGATTGATTTCCACTCCTTCCCGGGTCTCCTCTGGAGGATGTCCTCCCCAGGCAGGGTCAGCGGGATGGCCGGTGGATCCCCAGGAACAGCCGGGCAGGCTCTGGCTGGGAGGAGAGGGGTGCGCTCTGCAGCTGCCTGCTCTCAACCAGCAGTTCGAGTGGTCACAGGATCAAAAGAAGAACAGGAAAAGGGGGGAGTCAGACGCCCACTGAGTGACAGACAAAGTCTTTCCCAACAAGGCAACAGACAGACAGACAGACAGAGGGCAGGATGGGGCAACAGTGGGAGGAGGCTGCCGAGGGGAGAGCTCTGGAGGCCACGCCTGCTGGACGTGCCCCGCGTGTGGATCTGTCTGTGGAAGGACTCAGGACTCCTGTGACTTCCCCTCTCTCTCTTCTTGTGCCTGGTAAAGGCAGGCTGGCCCTACAGCAGCCTAGGAATGTTCTTGGCCCCCGTGAATCCTGCGACAACTCTATAAACTTGGCATCGTTGGCCTCCCCTGTTGCAGGGGAGATGCTGAACTTCAGAGAAGGAAAGCCACCTGTCCAAAGTTGCACAGCTTTAGGTGAGAGAGCCAGGATCCAAACTCAGGCCTGCGCTTTTCTAGGCACCTCTGTCCCCCTTTCTGGTCAGGCCCCAGCTTCCTAGCCATCCCTGGGGCTTTAAGAAGTGAGGGATGGAGGACATGCCGTCCCTGGGAGACACCATCTTCTGAGAAGTAGGGGTGGGCAGAGCGTGGGGGTGGCAGCCCGCGCTGCCCCGTTGAACCATCTGTGCGTGGCCGTTGTGTGGGGGTGGAGAAGGGAGCACGAGGTGATGCCTGATAAGCAACCAGGTTCTCAGGTGGGCCCGAGCTGGGGTGTTGGCCCTGAGCTGGGGTGGTGGCCCTGGGGGTCAGGCCCTCTCAGACACCAGGCTGCAACTGCATTTCAGTCCTGTCTCTGGCCGGCTCACGCCCGGGGACCTCACCCACCAGCGGTGCTCTGCACCACCCACACTCACCACGGGCTCACACTTCTCCCATCCAGAGGCTGATTCATGCCAGAGGGGGATGGATGCTCCGCAGCCAGCCAGGGTGGGGGAGAGTGGGCAGGGGCAGAGGAAGCCTGCCAGGCAGGTGCTGCAGACAGGTGGCCCCGTGCACTCAGGGCCGGGAGTGGACTCCTTCGTGCACTTTTATCCCACTCAGTGGCCCCACTGGGGCACACTGACATGGCTCCTGGGGCTTCCCTGCTCCTCAGCCCAGGAATCCGAATTTCTTCCAGCCCACCACCCTGGGCCAGGGCCCCCCGGGCAGCCCGTGAGCAGAACCCTGAAGGACCCTGAGGCCAGCTCACTGTGTCCTGGCCCAGCCTGTCCCATAGGGACACAGTCCCTTCGCCTGAACAAGTGATCGATCACAACGCAGCAGTCACCAGGGGCAAGGTGGGCCTACCCACTGGGCCACCCCAGTGGCCCTTGGGGGACACACCTCAAGCTCTGTGGGGTCTCCCTAAAGCCCCCGGGCCTGTGGTAAGAAGCAGGCCCCGTGGGGCAGGCAGGGTGCCCTGCAGCCACTCGCTGGCCTCTGACTGTGCGAATGTGTTACTTCTGCCAGGAGTCTCTTCAGCATCCGATGTCCACTGTGCTTGGTGCCACCATGAACCCTTAGCCCTGTGCCAGGTCACAGTTGGCCAAGTTCCTGACTGCACTGCCTGGCCCGGATGCCGGCTTTTCTTCCTCAGCACAGACACCCTGGGTTCAAGTTCCAGCTCGACCACCCAGGAACTCTGTAGCTTTGGGCCTCTAAGATGCCTTGGGCTTTTTGTTTTTTTGTCTGCAAAATAAGGTTGCAGTCATTGCCTCATGGGATCATTGTGTTGAGTTGACACAGGGCATGAGGCGCTCAGGCAGAGTATGTTTTCTGTACATGTTCTTTCCCCCCTGTCCTTGGGCCATTTCTAGCCTACTGGATGCATGGGTTCCTGCTTTCAGCTCACTAATGACCTCCAGACCCCAGGACAGCAGCGTACCCCTCCCCACGGGCCCTCCCACCTCAGGCTCCCTCTGCTTCCCTGTTACACTGGGGACTTTGCCAGGACAGGGAGCCCCTCCTGGCTTGGGATGGGGCCCCGGATCTCGCCAGTACCCTTGAATGTTTGTCGGAGGTGCACATATGGCAGCTGCAAACGACCATGAACCTGTCTGTAGCACTGAGCTGTAACTGGGGGATGCTCCACAGCCAGCTGGAGCAGCTTGCACCCCAGAAGGGGCCTCATGGAGGCGCAGGTCCAGGAGAGGGGGTAGGGGCCGGGCAGCTGGGGTCCAGTCCGGGGTGCTGGCACTCAGTGAGAAAAAGGAGCAGGGGAGGCGACTGGCTACATTCACCAGGCCCGAGCCCCGTCGCCTTCGCCGGAGCCATGATCCCCTTCCTCCCCTGTTTTTGTCCTGCCGTCCCCAGATTGGCTGCTGTCATAGAGCCACAGAGAGAGCCTCGTTGCTTCACCTTTTAGAGATAGCAGTTTCATCCGAGGCCTGGGTTCTCCTCTCTCTGGCAGACCTGAGCCACGGCCATGCATTTCATGATCCCGATCCTCTGACCTTAAAAGAATGAATCCCGGAAGATTACAGAACAGTAGTCATCTATTTTTATAGCGTCCCCCAGAATCGTAAAGATCAGCTTAATTGCACTCGCAGATTCCATCCTTCTCTAGAAGGAGGCCTCAAATACGGAGAACTTTTTAAGACACTTGGATGAATGTTCTCCTGCCGGGACATGCAGGAAGGTGGACACATAGCGCTGACAGCATGTGCAGCCCCCCCCGGGGCCCGAAGTGGCCTCTCGGGTGCTCGGAGAGGAGGAGCAGGAGGTCCAGGGGGGGTGGGGAGGACCCTGAGCAGGCCTGGGTGTGGCCGCCTTCCTGATGATTTGGATTTGGCTCCAACCTCTGGACCCCCCAAGGAGACCCCAGCCTGCTGTCTGCACTGGCTGTCTCGCAGGGTCACTGTGAGGACCAAATGGGAAGATGCGGCTGAAAGCTGGCGATGCCCTGGCCCCTGTGGCTCAGTTGGTTGGAGTGTCTTCCCACACACCTAAATGTTGTGGGTTCAATTCCTGGTCAGGGCACATGCCTAGGTTACGGGTTTGATCCCTGGTTGGGGTGCGTATGAGAAGGTAACCAACCAATGTCTCTCTCTCTCCCTTCCCCCTTCCTCTTTCTCTAAAAGCAATGGGAAAAAAATGTTTGAGAATTGAAAAAAAAAAAAAGTTGGCTCCCCAGTGATTCCCCTGCCGGGTCCGGGGACTCCAGAGGAGCTGGCCAGTGAGGAGGTAGGGTCCTGGGCAGCGCCGACGGCAGAAGGGCGCCCACTGTGCAGGACGGATGGACAGCAGCTGGGCAAGGCGAGCAGTGTCCACTTCACCCTCTCGCCACTTGTCCTTCATGGTCCTCCCGGGACCCCCGCCTGCCCTGCCACGTCTGGGGCAAACCTCAGCCCTGAGTCACAGCTCCTTGTTTACGAAGGGTGTCCTTTTGCAGTTAAACAGCAGCCACTGCCACCCGCAGTACAGCCCCGGGGTAGAAAGTGTGCTGTGACATCCCCACCCACCCCACCCGCCAGAGGGGAGCCCCGTGCCAGCGCGTGCCGAGCCCGACCTGCTCTGACACCCAGACGTGCCAGTCAATTCCCGGAACTGTCAGCGACTGCAGTTCTTTGGGGGAGGGGGTGTCTTTCTAGTTGCCAATAAGGAAGTCAAAATATCAGTGTAGTCAGAGCTTTGAGGGACGAAGCTGTGTGGAGGGCCATCTCTGTCCCCCTCCCCAGTCTCCCGGGGGGCCTGCCTTCCCTCCCCTTGGGATCCTGTCCTGGGCTGAGCTGCTGAGACCTCTGCAGGGACCAGCCTGGCCTGGTGCCAGCCCCGCACCACAGGCAGGAGGCCCACGCCTCGCTTTCCCCCCACGAAATAAATCTCCCTGCTCCTTCCGAGCGTCTCAAAACCACGATCTTCTCCCGATTAACAACCTGGCCAGCATGTTCTTGGCTGCTCGCTGCCGACCTCAATTTAGAACTGTCTGCTGTTTGGCTGCTGGAGAGGGAAGGTGCTGGGGGGTGAGGCCTGCTGAGGCTGAGGGGGCTTGTGCAGCTGAGGTCTGGCTGTGGGGGTGGGGTACCGTCCACTGACCCAGCCCAGAAGCCGACCAGCATTTCAGAAGGCTGCAAGGGGGCAGGAGGGCCTCAGGCCAGGCCAGGCTGTTGCTCTGAGGGCTTTCAAACGGTCTTCCTAGAGGCTGCTGGTGAAGACGGGTGGTGGGTGGGGGTGGGGAGGAGGCAGCTCCTGTAAAACTGCCTCGGTGACCATCACCAAACATCACGGTCAAGGCTAAATGGCCACGTGTGGAACACCACTGCGTTGTCAGAAAACTGCTCTTGGGGCCATTGCTAACTGTTATGTTCTATAAAAGTTTGACAAGTTCTCCTCTGAGCTCAGATGCAGGCAAAGCTCTCTGTCTCCTGATGCCTGGCAGGCCTCCTCCCTCAGGCTGGGACAGCCCCCGGGCAGGCCCGCCTCCCTCCAAGAGGGAGGCACTTCTTTCTGCCACTTGCCTGCCTCCCGCCTCTTTACTTCATCCTCACCTGCCTGGAGTCATCTCCGGCCTGCGTTGTTATCCAGGGAGGCTTCTTGGCCTCTGGGGGGGAGGCTGGTGGGAGTGTGGGGTCCGGAGTCCTCTAGCCCCTGCGGGACTGCAGTCCCACCCCCGAGGCTGAAAGCCCGCACCTGCCCTCCCTGACCGTCAGGCCTCTCTTCTCTGTGAAGCAGAGCTCTTACACACTTTGCCATGGGCGTGTTGGGAGGTGGCGAGTCATGCGTGTAAAGCACCGGGCACGACGCCCACGTAGCTCTAGTGCCTGGGTGGGGGAGAGCCTCGGCCCTCCTGGGAAAGCGGGCGGACCGAAGCCGCCTGGAGAGTGAGCACTGTCTCCTTTTCCTTCTTCGGCAGGAGGGCAGTCGGTGACCCACACTGGCCTCCCCATTGTGGTCACTCTGGCCAACAAGTCCATCTCCTTCAACTGCAGCATCACCTACCTGTACACCCCAAAACTGAAAGACTTCACGGTCAGCTACTTTTATGTCGACCGCCAGGGCCAGCAGGGAAGGGAGCGGAGGACTGGCTGCCAGCCCATCGTGGGCACAGAGAACCAGACCCTCACCACGCAGTGCAGGGTCTACCCCAAGCTGTCCAACGCGTCGGCCACCGGCACCTACTACTGCTTCGTCCACTGGCCAGACTTCCATGTGAAAGGCAATGGCACCTTCATCCTGGTCAGAGGTGAGGCCTCCGTGGCTCTTCCAGGGAGGAGGACCCAGAGGCCCACGCAGCAGAATCGGGGGCCCAGGATCGGAAGTGGGGGGTGTCTACCTCACCTTTCAGCTTTGGCAAAGCAGAACCGAGCCTCATGGGGGAACTGCACCGGTGCCAAAGCATCTGCCTTTGCGTTGGAAGGGCAGAGGCCTGGGGTATGCACCTTCTCTGGCCCCCTCTGGCAGGTGACCTGAGGGATATCACTTGGTCCCTTGGGCTCAGTGTCCCTTCGGCACAAGGCAGGTGTTGAGCGACTATGGAACGGGGCGTGAGCACTGGAATGGTGGCGGTCTGTGAGTGAGCACTGGGCTCATGTGCATCTTCCTGGGGACAGGTTCCTAGCTTTCATCCCGTTCTCAAAGGAGCGATGACACCAAAAAATGAAGAACAGCCCGTCCCCAAAGCCGTGATTCTAGGACCTGCCCCTCTGACTCCCGTTGGGAGGGGCCCCCAGTCCTGTAGCTTGCCGGGATGTGGCCTTGGGCCTGGTGTCATGGCAACACCCTGCCTGTCAAAGGCTGGCGTGGGGGTGAGTGAGGTCCTGCACACAAGGCTGGAGCCTAGTAACAGGGTGAGCTCGTTGAATGACAGACACCAATGTGCCTGGCTCGTGGTCAGCTCTCTGCAACTTTTTGCCAGCTGGATGGAGAGAAGGACGGAGGGAGGAAAAGATGGATGGCTCAAGGGAAGGGGCTGGGCTGTGCCTTCACACACCACAAGGTCCCCCAGGTGTGCAGACCAGGCACCTGCCGGGCCCAGAACAAAGCATCCTCTGCAGCCTCACGCTGCCTGGCCACAAGATCACTATTTCACTTGTGGAGAAGAGGCGGCCCCAGGAGATGAAATGACTTGCCCAGGGTCCCACAGACAGCTCTCAGTGGAGCCCGCTCACTGGGGCAGGGCCCTTAGGAAGCCAAGGAGGTGGGCCTTGCCTGAGCCAGGACCAGGCAGCAAACGCAGGAAAGGCCTCAGCTGGAGCGAGTGTGAGAATGTGCACCTCAGGAGAGGTGGGAGTCTGGGGGTTCTTGGGGTAGGTAAGGGGGATTCTGGGAAAAGGAGACTAGGGATTAGGGGGCCTGGGGGTTGGCACTTTGGAGTGTCACAATGCCTCTCCTTCCCTGTCCTCCTCCTAGACACAGGCTACCAAGAACCCTCAAGGGCCCCCCAGAATGTCCTGCTCTTTTGCTTCATCGGCCTACTGAGTGTCCTGAGCATCCCGTGCACGGCTCTGCTGCTCTGGAAGAAGGTAGGGATGCATGCACACACAGGCACAGCCGCACTGTCCACTGGGCATGCTCCTGAGGACCAAGGGGCTGCCTGCTTGCCCTGCAAGGTGTACACCCTGGAGCATTCTGGTGAGGGGTCCTGGAATAGGGGTTCCCTGTGGCTCCTTGCATCAGGCCCCTCCCTCACTCTACCTGTGGCTGGGCCTGAGCTACCAACTGATCACTATGAGTTGCAAGAAACCACAGCTCTTCTGCCTTTGCTGTCCAGGGTCTAGCCCCTTCTCCCTGGCCCCTCCCACCCTGCCCCGGCCCCAGGCTTCATCAACCACTTACCTGGAATCTGGGTCTCCCTGCTTTCTCACACTGTTCCCCGCACTCTTGCTTAGGCGTGCAGTGCTGTCCCCCCACCAGAGAGTGACCCCTGAGGGCAGGGACTGACACAGTGTGTACTTGTGGAAAGCGTGAGTGGAGAGGAGCCAGAGCTGGCCACGTCCGGGGAGGGCAGGACGACAGCATCACTCGCACTTACAGGGGAGGACATGGAGCCTCCACTGCTTTCCTGAGCTGCCGATGGCCATGCGGACCGGCGCGTTCATTCGAAAACCACGAGAAGGGAATGGTGGTGGCCAGGGGTGGGGCTCCAAGGGGCGGAGCATCCCCGCACCTGTAACAAAATGCACCCACCTGATTCTTCCAGGAAAGCTCCCTCTGTGTTCCCCGGGACCCTGGCCCTGGCCCAGCCTCCCCATCTCCCCCTAGAAGGCCTGCCACTCCTGGAGCTCTGTCGCCCCTTCCACTCACTGTCCCTCCCAACCCTCAATCCACCCACACCTGTGGCAGCAGAGGGAGCCTTAGAAAATGCAAACCTGACCCCGTCTGACCGATTCCCTGAGCTCTCTGAGTAATGGCATGGTGGCATCTCGCCTTCTGTGGCCCTGCCCTTACAACCCCCACCCCCACTTTGACATCCATCTGACCACTTTCTCTCTGGCAGTCTGTCCTTCTGCGTGTCCCTGACATGTCCGACAGCCTTGTCCCCGTGCCATTCCATGTGCAGTTTCTGCAGCCTGGGACACTATCTCAGACTCCTCTCCCATCCTCAGGAGATGGTGCAGGCCCCGGGAAGTCTGGTCCAGTCCCCCGGCAGACTTGGGGCTCCCCACCACAGCCCCACAGTGGCACTTACCTCCCTGGCAGCCCCACCAGCCTCAGTGGGAGTGCCACGAGGCCAGTCCGTGGTCTTGCTCACCGTGGGGTCCAGGGGGCCCCTGACCACACCCACCAGCCTTGGCAATGTCCAGGGGAAGGTACCAGCCCCCAGCTGTCTTGAGGTGAGCCAAGGCCTCTTTGCCTGTGGCAGACACCTCAAAGCAGGGGTTCGGTGGGGGCACCAGATTTGAGAGCAGGACGTCTGGGTTCGATCAAGGGCAGACATTGACTAGGTGGGCCAGCCTCAGTTTCCCCCTCTTTTAAGTGGGAATTCCATGTCCTCCTCATCAGGCTACTATGAGGGTTAAACGGAAGTAAGAACCGGTCCCACAGTTCTTTGCAAACTATAAAGTATGATGTGGGGGTCGGTACCTGTCTCACCTTCTATGAGACCTACACAGTCAAATAAAAGAACACAGCGGAGACTCCAGGTCCTGCCAGGTAAATCAGGCAGACCTGGGTTCAAATCCTGCCTCTGCCACGTCCCGGCTCTGTGGCCTCAAGCAGGCTGCCTGCCCTCTCCGAGCCTTCTCATCCTCCCGTGTGGAACGGAGATAATACGAGGACTTGCCTTGCAGGTTTATTGAGGCGGACTCGAGACGAGGCAGGTGGAGTGTTCACAGCCCCCCACCCCCCCCACCGGCCACCCGGAGAGGCTCCATCTTCCTGAGCAGCGTCTGTGCTGTGACTGGGGTGGTGCTGGCTTCTGCCTGACAGTGAAGCAGCTCTCAGGAGCTAATCCCGAGTAAATGGGCTGGGGATTGGCAGGCAGCCAGGGTTTTTAATTAGCTTCTACCCAGAGATGAGGCTGTTGTTCCACTCTTGGCAGTGTGGTGCCTGCAACGAGGGGGCACGATCGCGCGGCCTCCCAGGGCCTCCTCCGCCGAAGGAGCTGGCGGTGCCGCCTCCTGCTCTTCCTCTAGCCCTTTGGCTCCCCACCCCCGGGGCTGCCCTTAGTGCTGCAGGAAGCAGCCAGCAGACAGGAGCTTTCTGACCCCGTGTTGTGGTTCGGGCCCCGCCCCCCTCTAAAAGGCCCCCCACCGTGTTTCCACTGCTCATTTCCTTCACGCACCCCTGCACAGCTGTCCTGCCTGACCCAGGCAGGTCCACCTCTCTCTGGCCACGCTGACCATCTGGAAGTTCCTCAAAACCTCTTCCCTCCACCTCTCCTCCCTCTTATCAAACAAACTTCTCAGCCTCCAGGTCTTAAGGGCCCCTTCCTCACCTCCCTGGCGAGGTGTCCATTCCCTCCCGTGTGCCAGAGGCTCTCTCCCTGCAGGTCAGCGAGTGTTCCACACTTCGGTAAAAGCTCTAGTCCCTTGTCCATCTCCCCGCTAGGTCCTAAGCTCCGGGAGGGCAGGGACAGCGTCCATCTCTTCGTGCCACGAGGCTAACGAGGGGGGCTGGACAAGAGTGCGTCGGTTGGTTGAGGGCCACCCAAGTGCCACCCAAATGCTAAGCTCTTACTTGCTTCCTTCCCTGAATTCTTGCAATAATTTTGCAGAGGAGGGTTATTGACGAAGGGACTAAGGCTCTGCGAGGGGAAGGGGCTTCCCGGAGGCCGCAGAGCCAGGGAGGGCAGAGCGGGACAGCACACCTGGTCCAGCCATGTTGGCCCAGCGCTGCCCCCAACGGTCACTCAGTAGCTGGGGACCGCGTCACACTGGCACTGCCCTGCAGCTCCGCCTCCCTGAGTCTGGCCCTGGGTCCATGGGCAGTGCCTCATGGAGTCTTATCGTCGCTGGATTCTCCAGGCAGATGAATGGTCAGACGCAGGTCTTGGAGGCATTTGGCACGATTCCCTGGAGAGGCTGGGGGAAAGGTGCTGAGTGATCACTCTCTGTGTGGCCTCATGACAACCTGCCATCCTTTCCCGGTGGGTCTGTGCAGGGAGGGAGACCGGGGAGTCACTCGTCCCCAGCCCTGACACTCTGACTTGCTTCCTTGCAGAAACAGATGAAGGGCTCACACAAACGCCGAGCCCGGAAGGGTCCATCTCCAGCCCTGGCTCCGGGCCCGGCTGCAAGCACAGCCAGACCAGAGGAGCCTCCGGCCGAATCCCTCTACACGGTGAGTCCTGGGGCCTCGTGCCCCTGCCTCTCGGGTCTGACGTGAGGTCTGGTCCCCTGGCTTGGCCGTGTACCAGCGGTGACCTCTCTGACCCTTAAGTTCCTCATCTGTAACCTGGGGACAAGAAGTCCTACTTGCTGGGCTCTCTATGACAGTGAAGTGAGATTACGTGAAGTGCCCCAGGTCCCCCCCTTGGCCTGCCCCTCCACGTCTGGAATAAGGGGTAGCAGGCATGGGTTGTTCAGGAATAAGGAAAATTTCTTCATCCAACCACACGGTGCCGTTGACCAGCTCACCAACTCCTTCCTGTTTTCATTGCGCAAACGACGTCGCAGCAATGAGAGTCACAAAAAGAGGAAAAGGTCCGGCCCTGTCCCAAGCCCTTCACTCATCAGTGACTTTTATTCTTCACATGCCCCTCCTCACCACGTACGGACATTGTTTTATGTCCTTACGATCGGTCAAGAGGAGACACGGCGGGGGCGCTTTTCCACCTGTCCTTGCGTTCTCCAGCACTGCAGTGGCCTTCGGCATTACCTGGGGCAGAGGTTCAGCCCCGTGCCCGGCCCAGTGTGTCCGCCCAATCCAGCTGCCCGCCAGTTGGCACGCAGCCACGCTGCCTGGCGGCTGGGAAGGCGACGAACGTTCTTGCTCAGTTACATCTATTTTACACAAGTAACCTTGCTCATTGTGGAGAAAGTGAAGAATAAATGCCACCCGGTGTCAGCTGGGCTCTCCATGAGAACTACAGCTGCCAGGCTGGGACCGTAGCCCCACACCTGGGGGGTGCAGGCCCTGTAGGCTCCCCAGGAGCGTGTTCTGGGCTGCCTCTGACCCCATTCTGTCGCCTCCATCCTGACTCACACATGCACCCCGGGCCCTTCCTCAATCTCTACAAAACCCCACACAGGGCGTTCAGAGTAAGGCTCTGTTTTTGAGGATGGGGGCAGATGGGGACAAGGCAAAGGGATGTCCCCATGGGGCCGTGCTGACGGCTCCAGGCAGAACAGAAGGATGCCAGCTCACTCAGGGTCTTCGGGGCCTCCCTCCGGGAATTCCCACCGGCCTGGGCTTCCCACGTGGCTCCAGACTTCCCCACATTCTCTCTTCCCTCCCAGCAACTCATCATGGTGTTTTCCCATGAGGACTTCTGGTGTCAGCTGTTAAATAGAACACTTCTCTCTCTCCACACACACGCACTCACGCACACATTAGCGCTCTCTCTCTCTCATATATATATCAGAAAGAAAAAAATAACCGTTATCCTAATTCTATCTCCTTCCAGGATAAATACTAGTGACATTGACTTCTATACCTTCTAGTCCTTTAATAAAAATACATACAGAGACCCATACATACATTCATACTTTTTCGTACTGAAGTAGCATAGCTATTTTTTTCATGTTATACTATCTCGAGAACGTCTTTGCACATGGATAAACATTCTCCTGCGAGCTTATTTGGATGACAGAGACTCAGCTTTGCATGGAACACCTTTCTCGCCTGTGTTGAGACTCCAAGGAGGCTCAGTTAGACGTCTCTCGAGTGTGGGAGGGAGGCCCCCCGCCCCCCAGGATTGCAGGGCCGCTTGAGCAGGTTGAAGACCAGAAAGAAGACGTGAAGGGAGGCCGCAGGCTTTGCTATCCCGTGAGACCGGTCCCTACCAGCTGGGACTGGACCTGAGCAGATGAGAATGCCATTAACCACAAGGATGATATTGTCCAGAGCCATTTGTTGAGTACCTACTATGTGCCAGACACCATGGTAGGACTTTTAACTATTACCTCATTAGTCCTCATAAGGTTTTAGGATATAAGTGTTGACCTCATTTTCATTTCTTTAAAAAACCTTTTTTTAAAGCCCTGGCTGGTGTAGCTCAGTGGATTGAAAGCTTGCTGTGAACCAAGGGGTCACTGGTTTGATTCCCAGTCAGGGCACATGCCTGGGTTGCAGGCCAGGTCCCCAGAAGGGGCCACATGAGAGGAAACCACACATTGATGTTTCTCTCTCCCTTCCCTTCTCTCTAAAAATAAAAAATAAATCAATAAATAAAGCTTAAAACAAAACAAAACAAAAAAACCAAAATAAAAACCCTTTGTTTTAAAATGCTTACCTGAGAACATTTTTATTTCATTGCATTTTAAGGGAGAGGAAGGGGGTAGGAAGGGAGGGGGGAGGGAAGGAGGAAGAAGGAGAGGGAGAGACAGAGAAACATCGACCGTTTGCCTTTTGTAGGCTCCTAGACCAGGGATTGAACCCACAACATAGACATGTGCCCTGACCAGAAATCAAACCCAGAACCTTTCAGTGTGTAGGAGGCTGCTCCAACCAGCTAAGTCACACTGGCCAGGGCTCCATTTAATTTGCCAATTGTCTATTGCTGGTATGTAGAAATATGATTGACTTTTTAGAGACTTCATTTTATTTGTTTATTTTTAGATAGAGGGAAAGGGAGGGAGAAAGAGAGGGATAGAAATATCAATATGTGGTTGCCTCTCATGTGCCTCCCACTGGGGACCTGGCCTGCAATCCAGGCATGTGCCCTGACAGGGAATCAAACCGGCAACTCATTGGTTCATCATTGGCATTCAATCCATTGAGCCACACCAGCCGGGGCTGACTGATTTTTTAAAAGACATTTTATTTTTATTTTTTTAAAGACATATTTATTTATTTATTTTTAGAGAGAGAGGAAGAAAGGGAGGGAGAAAGAGAAACATTAATGTGTGATTGTCTCTTGTGCACGTACCCCCTACAGAGGACCTGGCCCACAACCCAGGCACGTGCCCTGACTGGGAGTCAAACCGTGACAGGCCAGCGCTCAATCCACTGAGCCACACCAGCCAGGGCAGACTTTTTAAAATTTTTATTGATTATTCAGTTACAGTTGTCCTGATTTTTGCTCCCCTCCACCCAGCACCCCCTCTCCCTCAGGCAATCCCCCCACCATTGTTCATGTCCATGGGTCATGCATATAAGTTCTTTGGCTAGTCCATTTCCTATGCTGTACTTTACATCCCCATGGCTATTCTGTAACTACCTATTTGTACTTCTTAATCCCCTCGCCTCTCAACACCCTGCCACCCATCTCTTTATCTTCAGCCTTTGGCATTTTGATTATGTTGTGTCTTGGGGTGGGCCTCTTTGAGTCCATCTTGGTTGGGATTCTCTGTGCTTCATGAACTTGCATGTCTATTTCCTTCACCAAATTAGGGAAGTTTTCTTTCATTAGCTTTTCGAATAGATTTCTAACTTCTTGTTCTTTCTCTTCTCCCTCTGGCACTCCACGAGGCAAATGTGGGATTGCTTAAAGTTGTCCCACAGGCTGCTGACACTATCCTCGTTTTTTGGATATTCTTTTCTTCTTGTTGTTCTGTGTGGTTATTTTTTGCTTCTTTATGCTCCATTTCATTGAGTTGCTTCTTGGCTTCATCTGCTCTACTGTCGTTTCCCTGTAAATTGTTCTTTACTTCAGTTAATGTATCTTTCATTTCTGACTGATTCTTTTATGCTGCTGAGGTCCCCCCCTAAATCCCTTGAACATCATAATAACCAGTGTTTTGAACTCTGCATCTAATAGGTTGCTTATCTCCATTTCATTTAGCTCATTTTCTGGAGTTTTGATCTGTTCTTTCATTTGGGCCATGTTTCCTTGTCTCTGCATTTTGGCAGCCTCCCTGTGTTTGTTTCTATGTGTCAGGCAGAGCTGCTTCGACTCCCTATCTTGATAGTGTGGCCTAACGTAGTACATGTCCTGTAGGGTCCAGTGGCACAGCCTCCCTGATCACCCAAGCTGGGTACCCGAGGTGTACCCTTCATGTGGGCTGTGTAGATCTTCCTCTTATAGTTGAGCCTTGGTTGCTTTTGGCAAATCAATGGGAGGGATTTACCCAGGCCAGTCAACTGTAAGGACTGGCTGAGACCACTGACCACCAACGTCCACCCTCCATGGAGGATCAGATGTGTAGGGGCAGGTGGTGGGGCTCCGATGTGGTCTGTAGCTGTCCAGTGGGTGCGCTGGCCTTGGAGTTTCCTGGTGGTGCAGGCCAAGGCCTGTCCCCACCTGTGTTTTGCCCAGAGCCACCCTGCTTGTGCCATAATGCAATCTGAGACAGATGCTACTTGTGCTGGGCTTGGAGATTTCCAAGATGAAGCCAAGCTGTGAATCTAGGCTGCTAACTCTGGGCCTGGGGCTCACTGAGGCCAGCTGCTGCTTGTTGGAAAGGACTCAGGAAGTTGTACAGCATGAGCCAAGACCAACCATTCATATAGAAAAGCAGCTTGGGTGGGCCAGTAAGTTGGGTGGGGCAGAGTCTCTGGGGATCTCCAAGGTGTGTCAAAAAGTGTTAGCCAGGTTGACGCAGTCTTACATGCAGTACCCGTCTGCAGATCTGTGGGGGGAGGACCCAGGAAAGGGACAATGGCCTCTGTTCCTCTTGATGCCAGAGACCTCAGCCTCCACCCGCCACCACTGCTCCCACCCAAGCTGCCACCCTGGCACCAGAGCCCAGAGGGAGTGAGTCTGAGTACGTGAGTCTGTGTGTGGGTTCTTTAAGAGGAACTGTTTGGGGTTCCAGAAATTTCTTCCACTGACTCAATCCCCACTGGTTTTTGCAGCCAGAAGGTGTGGGGACTCATCTTCCTGGCACTGGAACCCTGGGCTGGGAGGCCTGGTATGGGGCGGGGGCTCCTTGCTCTCTAGATACCTCTCCTGAGTTTTTATCCACCACACATGGGTAAGGGACCAGCTTGTTCCATGTCTGCTCTTCTCCTACCAGTCCGAATGGACGTGGTCTCTTTAATTCATAGTTGTCAAACTTCCATTCGACTTGATTTCTATTGGTTCTGAGCAATGGTTGTTCTATATTAGTTGTAATCTTGTTGGGGTTGTGCGAGGAGGGGAGCCATGTCTGCCTATGCCGCCATCTTGACTGGAAGTCAAGATCGATTTTTGTATATTGACTTTTTATATAGAGTGACTGTGCTGTATTCATTCATTG